AAAAGAGAAAAGCAGAGCTCAAGTTTTCAGCTAAAACAGTCAGTCAGGTTACCACAACACAAATGTTAATTTAGGGCTTATTTCTAATAAGCAACTTTATGTTGGTTTGTGTTTCATACTTCTATATCTAAATAATTATTTATGATTTTTGTTATGAACTGTTAATACATTGAAGGGCTACTCAAATGCAAAATTAGTCTTTGAAACACAAAAATGAACAAAACTAAAACATTATTGCCCTATTCGGCCGATATTGTCTAGTGTTATCAATAGCCTTTAGCAACATAGATGTTTAAATAAGTGAACTATTTGATTTGGAAATATTAGTCCATTTGCCAGTTGTTAAGTAAACACATATTTAGATATTCAAATAAAATTATAAAGACTTTAAAAAGTCTCTGTAGCGAGTGAGTAATAAATTGAGAATTTAAACTGTGTCTCTCAAAACTCGTTTCGGTATTTGGTTTCAGATGAAGTAACAAATTACATTTTCAGATACTGAAGTTTTAATTTTTAAAACTAGTGTGCACTGATTAAACTGACTCTCCTCATAATTACTCAAATTAGGGAGTTAAATTTTACTTGTAAAAAAATTTACATATGAAAACAAACTACTGTTTCCATAATAATTCTCACCCGATGGCCAAACGAAGTAGCCAGCTCCCTTGCTTTCAGATTTTCACTGATGATACTTCCGCAACACAACCACCAAATAATGTCCTGGTCACATATTCAAGTCCCCTTTTCAAGTTTATGATTTCTATTGGAGTGGCTTTATTAGGAAAGCTTTGCAGGTTTAAAATCTTGTTGTTCAGCCAAAACCATAAATTTAATTCAATGTGCTGTCATGTGAAACAGTCTAATTAACTTTCTATTAAAAACAGCTAACAAGAATAATTCAGATTAGATAATGCATTGCGCTGTATTATCCTAATGATAACTTTTGAATTTTTGTGAAGGAAAGGTCTTCAAACTAAGGAAGTACAGATTAGTACCACTTATCAGATAATTCCTTCTCATCTTCCACCCTTGTATAATGTGATTTATTCTCATGGATAGGAAGAGAAACAGCTGCCTCAGAATTTATTATGCTAGAAATTCACTTAGCCTCCTTTCACATATATGATTATACAGTAAAACATGTTATATCTTGTTCTCAAAAATCCCATAATTTCTAGTTTAATCTCTTTTTCACAATTTTGGTAGATGATACTTTATATATTGACACCAGGGTCATCCATCTTTATTTATACAGACATTCTCAGGGTCCTTTAAGACTGAATCTCACTAGGGCTGCCACCTCTCTTTCACCCTGTTGAGTAACTAGACTGTAATAACTAGAAATACTAGTGGACTTTTAGATAGCACCTCCTCCCAATTAAAAACAGACAAATGGAGAACAGTTGTTAAGTCTTTTATTCAAATTAAAGTGCTTTTGTTCATCAAGTTTGGATTTTTTTGTCAATGATCTAGAAAAGTAATGTTGAGAGTCCATTTTTAAAGGATTGACGGAATATTGTCTTTTGTCACATAAAAATGCCATTGTCAAATATTAAGTAGACAAAGTACTTTGACATAGGGTATTTGATGCCAGTGCTGGAGAACAGTTAAATCAGTAGCAGGATTTCTAGTTTATTATTCTTGCTGATGAAACCTGGTAGTGGTTGGGCCTGAGAGAAGGAATCCAGCATCTACCAAGCACTGCATTGAAGTCGGGAACTGTGTCTACTGCAAAGTATGGTTCCCCTAAATTATCTAACTCATTGGAAATTTGCAGAAAGAAATTGGAAGCCATGAGGTGAATTTTTATTTAGTGGGAGAATTTTGAAAATCAGTATTTTTAACAAAAATGTTGTTATCTGAGAGAGTCTTGCATTGAAATCTTAGGACCAATAACTTGTTTGATGTTTTCCGAGGATAAGTGAACTTCCCCTCCAACCATCAGTATGAACAGCCTGGCCTTGGATAATCTGGGGCCTGTCTCTTAGGCCTTTTCAGTCCTGTAATAGGGATTTTGCCCACATGATTGACCTGCACGCTAATAATTTCACTCAGCTATTTGCTTCAGAGGAATATACAAAGTCTTCCCCCATTTCTCCCTTACCCAGCCTTCTCTGTAATTCCTTTCCTAATAATCTCATCACAAGGAATGATTAAGGCTTTCTACTATTGTCTCTTATAGCTGAATCAGAGCAAATGATTGATAAAGTGCCAAGTTCCAAGAACAGAAAGACATCCTCCTACCCTGAGGCTGTTCCTGCCTCCACCCTCCCGTGGTGCTCATACACGGCTTGTGTTAACTTCTGTTTTACATGAATCGATGGCATCTCCATCTAAAGTTTAAACTCCTTAAGGACAAAGACTGTGTGTTATTCTGTTCTCTACCTCCCCCATTCTTAACTCTTTCACTCTATTTATACTTGATTGAATGAATGAATGTGGTTTTGAACATCAATACTGAGTTTAAGAATCTGCAAGATTAACATTGTGATGCAGTTACAGAGTGTTGACTCTCATAGTAAATTGTTACGTTTTTCTGTAAAACTCCACATATTCCCAGCTTTTCTCTTGCTCTCTGTTATTCCACTCATGTAGGTAGTTGGCCCTTTTGCAGATCCATTGTGAAACCATTTTTCCTGCCTGAGCCAGGGGAAGCCATGGTCCAGCCTTATGGACTATGTGTAAAAAGAAATAATATATTTGTGTAGGAAACTGAAGTGTAAGCAATATGAAGATAGGGACTCTAACTGATGCTCTTTTCTCTCTCCAGTGTCTAGCAAATGTCTGTCATATAGTCGGTGCTCACAGAATATTTGAGATGGGGGTAGGTGGATGGAATACATGCAAAAGAAATTATGATGTAGTGATTATGACTTCTCTGTGTGATTTTTAGCACCAGCTCCCCCTTGTAAATGAGTTTAAGCTGGACTCTGTTGGTATGGTTGGTACTTTAAAAATCGTTGATGCTGGCAGTCATTCTAGTGACACCTGTCCAGAATCTTTCACAATTATGACTTCCTTCTGAAAAACTTTATCCCCCAAAAAACAGATAATTTTATTTCTCATGACAGATATGTTAGTCAATTTGTTTGAAAGTCTTTTGACACTTTATAAAGCGGTGACCTTTGTTAAAGTGACTGTTCATCTGACAAACCCGGCCCATGTGCTTTTACTGGGACACAATAATGATGCATGTGTCTGCTACTTCCATTTTCACCTCACCCTACCATTTGTCACTTTCCACTTTCAGACAGCAGGCAAAGCTATTTGTCTGCCTCAGCTTAATATGTAAATCCCTCATGCACACGAATGCACTGTAGTAGTGGATCTCTTGTATCACATTTGATACCTCCTAACACATTCTGGTTTTGATGGTGAATTCCAGTTTGGCCTTGTGTCCAATTTTAATTATTTTTTTTAAGAAAAATTGGATTGTATTCTACAGCTTTTTATGCTTACCTTTCTTCTACATATATCCATGTATCAACAGGCATATACAACTCATAGGTAAGAGAAAAAAAGGATTATTCAGAAAGATAATGTGAAATAATTACATATCATGGTCTATTAACATTGCATAATTATCTACTTTACAATTTTCATTTATATGCTTTAAAGGGAAATGATAGGGAAAAAGGTATATCGTTGGTGAAAGGAAGGATATATGAAGGATAAAGGACCTTTTTCAAACTACTGGGTAAAATTAAAAGCTGGAGGTTATACTGAGTTAATATCACACATTGTTACCGTTTTAAAAGGCAAGCTTATGGGATTGAATGAATCGTATTAATTGGATAAAATATCTGGCCATAATAACAAAAATTGAATAAATGGAAAATACATTCTTAAGCGATAACTTTTGGCAATATGTACCTAATAGCAATAAATGTATTTTGTTTCATGTTACTGTCATGCAACAGATAGAGGTAGCAAAACTGAGAGATAGGGTAACAGGAGAAAGCCACAGAAAAATGAAGGGGAAGGGTGTTGTCACTGAAGGTTGAAACCTCCAAGTAGGACATAAAGTTTGTGATGGATTAGGCCGGGCGTGGTGGCTCACACCTGTAATCCCAGCACTTTGGGAGGCCGAGGTGGGTGGATCACAAGGTCAAGAGATCGAGACCATCCTGGTCAACAGGGTGAAACCCCGTCTCTACTAAAAATACAAAAAATGAGCTGGGCACGGTGGCGCGTGCCTGTAATCCCAGCTACTCAGGAGGCTGAGGCAGGAGAATTGCCTGAACCCAGGAGGCGGAGGTTGCGGTGAGCCGAGATCGCGCCATTGCACTTCAGCCTGGCTAACAAGAGCGAAACTCCGTCTCAAAAAAAAAAAAAGTATGTGATGGATTATTGCAACATCACGTATCAGTGCTCTTAGAGCTTGTTTATATATTCGGTTGTGTATGCTCATTACAGACCCCTGGCCCGGTGGCAAGTGTGGTTACACTTTATAAGTGGAGGAATTAAGACTGAGAAAGGTTAAACAACCTGCTTGATGTCTACAGGTAGCTAAAGGAATGAGTGATGTGCTATGCCCCACTGCTTCAGTAACCCTAGGCATTGGTGATATGATTCTCAGTTTGTGGAATCTAAGGTTGAGGCCCAGAGGAGCTACCTTCTCTTCCTTGGTTGCTGTAGCCCTAAGTGGAAGTGTGAGGGTTTGAACCTGCTTCTGTCTCCAGAGCCCTAGACTCATTCTTCATAAACAACTCCCTCTCCTCATCAAGGTCAGAGAGCTTTTGGGATATTGTTTTTTGAAGTTGAGGATCAAACAATACAAAGTATTCAGTCTCTGAACCCTCATCCCTCAAATGGACTAGATAACTCCATGTCCTATCTCTAGAGCCCTATGCTGAGATTGTCCTTCTTCTGCAAGGAGAGCCACAGAAGTCACTGAAAGTGTTTTTCTCACTTGTTAACTAAAGAGGGGAATGAGGTAATGGCTATTAGAACTTTTTCCATCTACTCGTTAATTAAAATCTGCTGTCTTTTCTTTATAGTATAAGGATGCATTTATGAAAGCAAATCCTGGCTACAAATGGTGTCCTACCACAAACAAGCCTGTGAAATCCCCAACACCCACTGTCAATCCACGAAAGAAACTTTGGGCCTTCCCATCTGACTCTTCAAGAGACTTTCCAAGCCCCAAGAAAGCAAAGACTGAAGAAATGCCTCAGCTTAATTTTGGAATGGCTGGTGAGTTGAGACACTGTTTCCACCTGTTCTTTAAGGACAGTGCAATACATTTAGGCAGCATTTAAATAATACAGAGGGCAAGGGGACAAAATTTATGACTAGTATTAAGCAGTGGCAAGCATAAAGCGTATTTTCAAGCATTGGATCATGATGTATATAGAATACAGGTAATTAACAAAAGGATATATAGACTGAGTGATTATAAATATATGTCATTATAAATACATGTGAATTCCTGACATTGTCAGTATGGAAAAGGTGACAGCAGCGTGGAGATTGTCAGGAGCCCAGGAAATTTATGTTCACCAAATAGCTTATATGCACATACACACTAGTAATCCATCCCAGTGTGCACCTTAGTTATCATGCTACTTAAAAAGCCATAGTCATGTGGGTCATCTGGGTATTGGAAACATTGAGGGCAAGACTATCAACAAGTGCATCACAAATCTGAGATGGATCTGACAGCTGTGTCTTAGAACTCCCATCCTATCCCCTCCTCTCATGTCCATTCCTATATGGGTCGGAGAAATTTAAAATTCCAGATGGTGCCATTTGTTATGGGACCTTTAGTACTCTTTGGGTGGTAAGGTATGCTAAAGCATTTATTACCATGAAGTAAAATACTTATATTCACCCTACAACTGGCTCTGTCTTCCCTAGCTATTGCAATGCAGTCAAAACAGGAGTTTGTCAGATGAAATGAGGAGATTGAGCAGGGGACAGGAAGTGAAGTTGCAATTGAGCTATAGGGTTCCTATTTCGGTATTAGAAGCAAATTTTATTTGAAATCAGAATATTGAACCATTTGCATATGGAAAGGTTGAGAAAGGAGGTTGAGTGATACTGTGATAACACATTTTTTTAAAATAACCAATAGATTTTACAAGACTTTATGGTTCAATGTGTGATTCATAGTATAAAAAGTATGCGGTGGTATTCTATATAAGCTACAAAAAAATTCTTTTATTCAGTCATGTGTGGTGGCATGTGCCTATAGTCCTGGTTACTCGGGGGGCTGACATGGCAGGATCACTTGAGTCCAGGAGTTCGAGGCTGCAGTGAGCTGTAACCTCACAACTGCACTCCATCTTGGGCAACAGAGCAAGACCCTGCCTCTAAAAAATGAGGTCTAACATGATGGCAGCATTCTGTGGTGGGATGGGGGAAGGATTCAGGTGATTGCTATGTGGGTAGCATACACTATCTGTAGTGTCATTCTAAGTAAGCTCCCAAAATGATGCTTCTACATGTCCCAGAAGAATTCGACATAGATATCTGTCCTTGCTTTAGCTATCACTTTGTACTTTCTAAAACATCTTATTGTCGGAACCCAGAAAGAGTATATAGATGACTGACTTGCAAATGAATTTCTTTGGCCGTCATTTAACATCCGTTGCTTTTTCTCCCAACTGAATTTCTTTGGCCATCATTTACTATCCATTGATTTTTCTCCCAATTCCCAATTTAGATCAGGCTATGTGGTTTGTTGTTGTTGGCTGTTTTTTTTTTTTTTTTGCATACATCTGCTCTTCACAAACCATATAACTACTGTGGGTGAACTGCAGAAAGCTATGAAAGATATTTCTTTTTTGTAGCACCGTTGCTGACACTTTATTCATCTGCCTTTTACCTGCAAATTGAAAGTCAAACCCAGACTTCAAACAAGATCTTTCCAGATCGGTGTTTAAGAGCAGTGTTCTCAAAGAAAGTACAGGAAAGAAGGAAAACACCTTTCTTCCCTGCATTTATGTCATTATAATGGCTTGTGCTCTATGTCGGAAATCCACGTTCAGAACTCTTGATAGGCTTGCATATAGTGGATAACATTGATCTGATATTTCCAGGTATGTTGCTTTTCAACAAGATGAAGGCCAACTAATTTGTCTAAAGACAAATAAAAACCTGGCGCTTAGGCATCTGAATCTAGGAGATAATAGAGGGCTTCTAAATGCCAGATTGTTTCCCTCAATATGGAATCTCTTTTGTTCTGTTTTCCCATTAGTCCTTGTCACATGACATTTTGCAATTTTTGAATCACCCCAAATTGCCAAATGTATGATTTCCAAGAAGGGAAAGCTTTGTAGATTATAATTTAGTGCAAGCCCTTTCATTGAATTTCACTAACGAAAGCATTCTATGTATGTGAATATGTTTTGATAGTTCTAACTAACGTTATGTAAGTATGGATTAATATAAAAGATGTTGGTAATTTATTGGCCTATGTTTTACTATCCATATAGCAAATTTCTTGCAAAGTCACATTGGTATATAAATTATCACATAATCATGTTCCTATTTTACTTTCTAATTTGAACTAACACATTTTTATCTTTAGAAAGCTGTCATCCAATCCTCCTGATCTCTAGGATAACAGCTGCAAAAGTATTGCTCTTTTAAAGAACCAAACTAAACTTTTACTTTCTACTAAATTCATTTCCCCCTCTTGATTTTTAGGTAGATTAAAGTATCCATTTCAACAGCCACAGTAGTTCTTAAACTTAACATTTAATTAAAGTTGGGATCTTAAAACAATACCAAAGAGACTTGTTTCATCAACTCAGCTACTGTTTGTCTGTGTATTCTCTGTGTGTGTCTCCCTATGTGGCTGCCTTCCAATTTTGAGCTATTTTTTCACCTGATCTTTTGGTAACATAGTCTTTCCTCTAATACCCTCTTCTCCCCATCGCTGTCCCTTTTTTTTTACTGCCTTAGAATGTTTTTTGCAAATTGTGTTTTTAAACTGTATATAACATATAATCAAAGTTGCTTTATGAGTTCTTAAGACAGGTTGCATACAAAGATGTACTTAAGGACATATTCTTTAACCCAAAAAAGAAAAGAAACAACTGAATTTCTTTGTGCAACATTAGGACGAATCCTCATTTTCAATTGTAGATTCCTAAAATGAAGTAAACGTTGATTGAGGACCTTATATTCACTAGGAGAGATGCCAAGTTAGGCATTTTGACGTGTGTTCTTTCATTATACTTCTGAATTTTAATTCAAGACAGACTTATAGGACACAGGTCCCTTTTCTTTGATACCTTCTTTGTTTTTATTTGTTTTCTATTTGTTCATTTAACTTCTTACAGACCGGATCCCACTCTGTCACCCACGCCTGGAGTACAGTGGTGTGATCTTAGCTCACTGTAACCTCGAACTTCTGACCTTAAGAGATCCTCCTGCCTTGGCCTCCTAAAATGCTGGGATTATAGGCATGAGCCACTGTTCCCAATTCTGCTTTCTACTTTCTTTGTTTAGGTACAACCTGGGTCATAGATCCACCACTTTGCTTTTTTTATTTTCTCCTTCTGTTTATATTGATTATTGAAATAGTGAAAACAAAGACTTTTGGTGACATGAAAAGCATTAATTTTATATCTTGAAGGCATTTTGGGCAAGTGTTTGACTACCCCTAAAATGTAAAATGTCAAAAACATATCAGTTAATATAAGTTTATTTCGAACGCTTTAAAGAAAGGTTATTTGAATCAAACCTACTAGATTTTGGAAGCCTGATTGGAAAATTTCTTTCTGTTCTCTAGTTCTCTGATAGCCAATTTTTTTTTTACATTAGTCTTGATTTCACATGGCAGAAGTCATAATTTGAGAATAACAATCTAAAACTTCTTAGAAGACAAGCAGAAACACTCTTTTGTTTAAAAAATCTCACCTAAACTCCCCAAGCAGTAAGAAAAGAAGCATTACATTAGGGGATAAATTAATGTTACAAACGGCAGTGGTGTTGAAGAACATACGCTTGGGGTAGTGAGAAAAGAGGGGTATTCAAGAGGCTCACAAAGGATGAGCACTAGGAACATGTATGCCATGTTACTGTTGCATGAAGAGTTTTTTAAAGGTTTTTATAAAAAGTTATATGTGGTTCTGTTGGATTTCTGATTGCTAGTCTTTGTGAGTATTCTTTTTGACTCTGTGGATTGTATACACTTCATGCTTATCAGTTGATGATTTGTTCTTTACTTAATGCAGATCCTACTCAAATGGGAGGCCTGAGTATGCTGCTGTTAGCTGGAGAACATGCTCTTGGCACACCAGAGGTAAGCCATCCTTTTCCATCATCTCCACTCCGCTCTTGTGGCAGGTTGGGAACACAGCTGTAGTCAGTTTACATTGTTCATTCTGCATTTTCACTGTTTACAGCTCATGAACAAACTGTATAATCTTCCTCTTTAAGATCTTTGTGTATCTTGTGTGTCGAGGGTAAAAAAAAGTGGTGTAAATAAGGCCACGAGGCTATAAACACAAACCTCCAAGTTAGGTTGTAGTAATGCACTGTATAGATCATTGGTGTCTGCTGTGACTGTGTCGTGGTTATGTTAGTTGGGCGCTGTGTTCATTTATTCAAAACATTCTCTGCTTTGCTGATGCTCACTTGCTAGTAGAAAGATGATGCTGAAAATATGCAGCTGTCAGTCTCTCTGGTACCTGAATAATTCCAAATCACTGTTTTGAAAATTAGGAAACATGGCATTTCAGGATTGTTTCATTCTTCTTTCCCGCCCCAACTCGTTGCCCAGGCTGGAGTACAATGGCATGATCAGGACCTCCCAGGCTCAGGTGATTCTCCCACCTCAGACTCCTGGGTTACCTGGACTACAGGCATATGCCACCATGTCCAGCTAATTTTTGTTTTTTTTTTTTTTTGTTGTTGTTGTTGTAGAGACAGGGTTTTGCCATGTTGCTCAGGCTGGTCTAGAACTTCAGGGCTCGAGCAGTCCACCTGTCTCAGCCTCCCAGAGTGCTGGGATCATAGACGTGAGCCACTGTGCTTGGCCTGTTTTAATCTTTATAATGGAAAAAGGACCTAGGCCTTCATGACCTTGGTTTCGTGATCTAGTGATTGCGCTGCTTTTGCTAAACATTTTTAGGTATGATTTTGATGGGCAGGTAGTGGCAGTTAACCGTGCACAGTCTGCATTTGTAGAATCCCTCTATTTCCCAGAGACATTTAACAGAGGCTAGTTGAATTAACCGACAGCTGATGTTACTTTGCCACACTCAGGTTTTTGAGATGGAAATTTTTCAATCTCCAACCAGACTTGTTGTTTAGGGCCAAATAGCAATGACTCCGTTTTATTTCGGGTTATATTTTTTACTTTTTTATTTTAGTTATGTCATATATATTCTACTTGAAAGCTTTTGAAATAATGGTTTTTGTAGATATATATTCAGGTAATAACCTATTTATATTAGAAAAGGTTTTTATTTTTTATAGTTTACTTTTGGGATCCATAGTGCACTATTCAGTTTAACAATTATTTTGGTTCTGTTCACTTCAGTGTAGCAAGAAATGTGTAAATGTGTTTAAGAAATGCACTAGTGGCTATTTACATTGTGCTAATCTTCAGCTGAAAAAACATAGACGTCACTTGGTACCTTTGCATATCATGATTCATCATGTCAGTAGTTTCTAACATAATAGCATTGCCAGGCATCATTTCACTTTCTAACACACTGCTGCTACCTCTAAACAATCAAACTCTCACTCAGGTATAGGTTGTCCCAAGCACAAAGGTGAATGTTGGAGTAATAATAGGCACTTGACCTTTCAACAAGTCTGACTCATATGATTTCCAAGAAGGCATTGTATTGTGAAAGCCACTTCATCTTTCTTAACTGTTTAGATTATCGTAGTGTTTCATCCCCAACAGCTGTTTAATATTCCTTTTAACCTTCAAGTACAAATGTAAACAAGGCAACATCTGTAGAACTCATGGATGCTAGTCAAAGAAAAGCATGCCTTCTTTTCCCCTTTTGGCTTAAAGTTTGCCTTTTGAGCTCTTTTCAGTGGAAAGTTTTTCTTCTCCCTCTTAAGAAGGCAGAGTTTTGACACATGCAACTCAATGCAGTGGTGGACCTTTTATCTCTGAAGTGGAAATGTTTTGGGAATTCTCAAGCTAAAGAATCAAAGAAAGCTAAATGATTAAAAGAAGGGAACCATAATGGGAGAAGAGAAGCTATGCTAAGGAAGCAGGTGGTGGCAGTTAGGTCTTTAAGAACCACTTCAAAGAACACAACTCTCTCTTCATATTCAGTATTTCCCATCTCAGAGATATTTAGGCCACTATTGAAAATAATGTTGAGATATCTACACTGTGAAAGTTGTATAAAATAATGCTGTCTCTAAATACAGTTAGAAAATTTATTTCACAGCTCTCCGTAGACTGCATTAGCACCTGAATTTCTATGAAAAGTCTTCTTCCAGATATGTAGATATGATAATAGAACTTTAAGGGCTATGTGCATAGGTAGATGAACATGACACAAATGTAATAAATATGTAGTTTCCTTTTCCTAAGAAAACTAGCAGGATAACGATATGAGGGAAATAAGGAAATTTCCTATTTCTGACATTTAGAAAAATTACTGTGAAGTCTGTTGATACTGTGAGGTAAGACCAAAGTGACATTTTACAAAAATTCTGCCACCAAAAAATGGTCTAATCATAATGGCTTTCTAAAATGCCATGACAGAACCCTTATTCTGAAATATTGTTCTTAAATGGAGATTTTCTTTTGCGCATTGACCTGAGACCTAACCATATAGTAAAAGTTCTCAAAGGCTATTTTTTTTAATATGAAAATTTTAACAAAGGGAATAGATATTTTTTAAAATGCAACTCTAGGAAGTAGAGGCTTGCTGCAACTGAAACAATAAAGTCCCAGATTAAAAGCTTATGCTGTTTCTTAGATCTACCCAAATGCTCTTAGAGGTTTTAGACAGAAATTATAATATCTTCAGATATCAATGGGAAAATAATAACAAACAAAATGTTTGTGTGTTCTTTTTTCTGTCTTCTGATCAATTCTTAATCTACCATAATGGATTTTTTACATTATTATTATTTCAGCATTTTTTATGTGCCACCGTTACTAAGCCTAGCATGGTTCTTTAGTCTCATTGTGGTAACTGTGTCTGTGATGCAGAAGATTGATGCATTTTGATAGTTTGTCTTGTTTCTTTCATTTTCACATAATTGGACTTGTTTTTTTATACACAGAGTACATTGAAATGCATAAATTATTTAAAACAATGTTGACTGTTACAGAATTTATTGATCAAGGAAGCAAAATCGATATATTGAGCAAGAAAGACATAAAGGAGTGACTCCTGGCTCCAAATAGCAGAATAAGCATGTCACTACTGAAGACCCTATAAAATAGAAGCAGAGAAGTATCATTAGTAAATAACCCCATAATAATAAAGGAGGTGGAAAGGAGTATGTCTATGAATATGAGATTACAGCAAATTATTTAAATTAGAAATCAAATGTAGTTGTCCAATCAATAAAATGTAAGTGCCAGGCAAAAGTAGGCTGGCAGGGAGCCGCAGCAGAAGTGGGAGCCTGTGTATTCAGTAGGATGCCCAGAAGTTTGAGTGAATAGCTGCTTTTTTTGTTTTTCAACTTTAAAGAACCAGAAATAAAAATGTAGAACAAATAAAAGTAATCCTATTCACATCAAACTCAGGGAAGAACTCATGAGAAGGCAGAGAATTAAGCCGTTATGTTTCACACCAGAGAGTTCTCTAAAGATGAAAATATAATAAATAAAGTATAAGTATTTGATCTAGATTTTCTAGAAGTAATCTCAAGGACTAAAAATCTGTTATATGTTAGTTACTTTAATAATAAGGGAAAGCTAAATTAAATTTTAAAAATAAAGGCAGGGAGTGATATAATTCAGATTGTAGAAGGGGCAGTTATTTACGTATAATGTAGACAATAGCCTGGATTATTCTCAGGAAGGATGACATGCAGTATCAGACCTAAGTGAGCAACATAAATTCCTCTTAGCTGGAGCAGAAGGGGAGGGGTGCTTGGAGACGTGTAGAATATAAGTTAGGCAGAGTAATTATAGCTGATGAAAAGCTTTGAAGGGATCAACATCTGTGTAGTTGAGTGACTCTTTGAAGCCAAACTTTCAAATATATGGGGAGTGCCTTAGACTTTGGGTCTGTGATTTTAGAGTGCGTGTTTCATTGGAGCCAACAGATGCGACAGAATTGATCAAGACCCTTTTTTCTTTGCCTTCCATCCTATGCAATGGAGCTGATAATAACAATACCTCCTTGCCTTCCAATCTCACGACTACCATGAAGATTAAGTAAATAAAACCCGTAAGGTACTTCTAACTCTCCTGCAAATAGTTCTTAGAGGTATGTAATTCTATTACCATTAGTTATTCTGGGCATTTCATATTCAACTTGCAAGTTTAAATTATATCAGACATTTCTCCCACAAGCTGTAATATGCCTTACCAGCAACAAGCATGCACACACACACACACACACACACACACACACACGAGTTCCTTGTCCATTGAAAACTTAGCAGAAATTACAGTTGTAACTTACTCACTTTATCACCAGGTGCTCAAGAAGGAGACAACTTTTTAATATCTGGGAGAAATCAGTATAGGAAGTCCAAACTCAGCAGAGTAGCTGAGTTAGTGTCAGGTTAGTGGAAAGATGCTAACAGATGATGGCACACCTCCATAAAAGAACTGTAAAGGTCATGCTCTCTGAGAATTGACCAGTGTCTAACTGTGTGCCATCTTTTCTTACATTTAATTACATGACAAGAGTTTACTGAATGGCTTCTATGTGTAAAGCATGTCAGGGAACGAACTAGATAGCATGAAGCTGATATTGTCTCAAGGTTCAAGATTTTAGATATAGCAAATTCTTTACATGATACTTCTAGTTTCAAAGGAAATCACATTGATTTTGATTTGTTCACCATGATCTGCTTGTTTAAAAATGTTTAAAACTTACATATCAAAATTTCTGAAAATCCAAAAATATAGGTTAAATATTGCCTATTCAAAATGTTTGAGACCAGAAGTGCTTCAGAGTTCCAGCTTTTTGGTGTGTTTTTTTGTTTTTGGAATATTTGTATTATTCTTACCTTTTGGGCATCCCAAATCCCAAAAATTGAAATCTGAAATGCCCCAGTGAGTAGTTCCTTTAGCATTATGAGTTGGCACTCAGAAGGTTTCAGATTTTTTTGAGGATTTTAGATTTTTGGATTAGGGAT